TTTTGTTGTTGTTTTATCTCCTCGTGGTGTCTGATATCTTATCTCGTGCATTGCGATATCCATCTTTACAACTATATTTCCGGTCCCATCCCTTCTTGACGGCTTGAATGAAACAGACCTATCAGTGAATCATTACACTCGACGGACTAGTGTCTGCAAAAATGCCGGGAACAGTTGCAGAGCCTCCATCGGTGTCTCTATCCTGTATGATCCGCATCGTAGTCTCGTCATTGATGCCATCGGACGCTAACCACTTTGTTACGTAGTTGCCAACAATTTTTGGGGCAAAGAGGATGCTGGTGTTGGGCCTATGCTAGATCGCATGCATGGCGCGAAAGTGACTTGTGATGAGCTCAAGACATTCTACAACGGTACGTTAGAGATCTAGCGCAGATGCTACCTTATGGATCAACTTCTAACGAACCTTTCAGTCCGCGCCGCGATCGAAGATGAATATTCACGAAAGCTTATGGCACTTTGCCGCAAGCCGCTAGGAACACACGAAACAGGCTCTCTGCGGTCGTCGTTCGATGTTGTCCGTGGTGAGACGGAATCGATAGCCAAGTCCCACGCCGCAATTGCAGCACAGATGAAGCGAGAACTTGAGGAGCCATTGATTGCTTTTGCAGGCGGATCGAAGGAGAGAAGGAAGATCATTCAGACAGGAATTGAGCGCCTTCTCAAGACCAAGATACAACAGACCCAAACGGTGAACAAGGTGCGGCAATGCTCAGTCTTTCATAATAATGGCATTGTAAATGGACATTGATTGACATGGCCCTAGACGCGAGACCGATACGAGCAGGATTGTTTGAGGATTAAGGGTTATCTCGCACAAGGACATATGGTAATGGGGCAGGAGGAGCGTAAAAACAAGGCCAAGCTTGAAAAGACACAAATCCAGCTTGCAACCAGCAGCAGCGAGTACGAGGCCGCTGTCAAGATCCTCGAAGAGACTACCGGTCGCTGGAATAAGGAGTGGAAGGCAGCATGTGATGTACGTCCTGCTCTGAACATGTTTACTGGGAAATGATGCTAATCGACTATCAGAAATTTCAAGATCTCGAAGAGGAACGAATCGATTTCACCAAGAGCAGTCTTTGGGCGTACGCAAATATTGCATCAACTGTGTGCGTTAGTGACGACGCTGTATGTTATGAACCTCCTCATTGAGATGATCTGAGCTGACATTGTGATCAGTCTTGTGAGAAGATTCGTCTCGCGTTGGAAAATTGCGAAGTTGAGAAAGACATTGTCTCTTTCATCAGCGAAAGAGGGACTGGACAAGACATTCCGGATCCGCCCAAGTTCATCAACTTCGCCCGGGGCGATGTGAACGACACAAGCTCAGAGCTGTCTGAAGAAGATGGATTTTCTGTTGCCCAATTTCAGCGTACTATCAATCCAGCATTCCGCAGTTCCTCTCCCCAACCGTCAACTTACGAATCTCATCATGAGCCGCGGCCTGAACTGGCAGCCAAGCCGGATCACAATAGCCCTGCAACGCCTGCCAGCAGGGAAGCTACGGTCACTCCGCAGAAACCAACGCAACCGCCGGCCCCTCTGGACCTTCGTCGGGGAGGCCATCTCCCACCAAACTATGACCCTAACCAACACGGAGAGATTGCGACGGTGCCGCACAATGCATATCCGACGGACGGAATGACCATGTTCTGCCGCACTGGACCCCCTTCAGAGCGCAGCTCGGGAAGCAACAGTGCTTATCGGCCTTCGAGCCGTGATTCGCAAAGTGAGATCTCTAACCCAACATCAGTGTCCAGCCAGGAGCCTCCCAGTGCCAAGCAATCTCCAACGAAGCCTACCAACGGGGTTGCGCTCCCAGGTCTCGGCGGAGACAAGCAGATCCAGAAGAGAAGAAGTGCTTTCTTTAGCAACAGCCCCTTCCGCCGCAAGAGTCGCCATGATAAGGACCGTAATTCTGGCCCCTCGCATGCTCCTACTCGAAGCACATGGGAGTCTCCCACAAAACAGGTCACTCCAGTCAAGGCACCTCAGCCTCAACCACCGCCAGCGCCTGTCTCTGACAATGATCGGCCGATCGAAAGTCCTGAGCCGGTAGACCCCAGGGCGAATTTCCAACTTAATGTTGGGAACAACGTTTTTGATGTCGCTTCCCCAGACAAGGTCACATCCAAGAAGGCTGCTCAAACGGCCAAGGCTGGAGAGGAGGAGCTTGACCCTATCGCCCGTGCTCTAGCAGATTTGAAAGGCGGTGGAAAGCAGTCCATGACCAGAGTGTCCGCCGACAGGTATCATGGCATTGCCACACCTGTGCCGTCCGCTCCTTCTTCCAACTACAGCGATGCACCTGTGGCGACTCCCCCTCCTGCATACAATGATACGTCGATAAAGAGACTCGATGCGCCGCAGCCCGCCTTTACTTCTGCGCAGATGCAGAAAACGACTCAGAAATACACTGGTCAGACCCAGAGTATGCTCAGGGGAAGTGGTAATGCTCCAGCTTTGGCAAGCCGAAACAGCGCAGAAGTTCCTCGAGCGAAACAGGAAATTCCTCGGGCGAAGTCACCTGTTCCGAGACGCAGCGCCAGCCCACAAGTTTCAAGTCCCCAAGTGATCAGTCCACAGCCAGTCAGCCCTCAGGTTGCGCCTGCTCGTGTGGAGACCCGGACGAGCCACTACAGTAGGGGCGCGAGTCCGAGCCCGAGTACGTATCAGACAAACAGTGTCAGGAGCCGCTATAGCCAATCGCCCTCGGTTTCTACTCCTCCTCAGCGGCCTGTTGATGCAGCACCATCCCCGCGTGAATTTCCTAGGCGAAGCTCTCCAAACCCGGCGGCGGCACGAGCTGTCTCTCCTCAACCACAATTCAGACAGCAGACCAGGCCTTCCAGCGCCGGTGGTATGGAGTTGCAACTGTCTGGCGGTAGTAGTGGGGATATGTACGGCGCCAGTTATGACAGCTACGGCTCTCGGGGCAGGGACTCTGGTCGGCCTATGTCATATTACGGCGATGGTGGTAGCCAGGGAGGCAGATCCAGGAGCAGGACTGTGGCTGTCGCCGACCCCAGCAGGCAATTTAGCCGGGACGGACGTCCAATTCTACATTTTGGTAAGTAGTGAAGTGCCAGCAGCACTCAGACCTGTCTCCAGCCGACAGCAGACACATGAGCTAACTTGCATTCTTTTCGTAGCACGCGCTTTGTACAGCTATACCGCCGCCATACCCGAAGAGCTCGGATTTGCCAAAGGCGACGTCTTGTCTGTTATTCGGCTTCAGGACGATGGCTGGTGGGAAGCCGAGATTACCACTACTCGAAGCCGCACAGGTTTGGTGCCGAGTAATTACCTTCAAATCATCTGAATGATCCGTCTCACGAAGCAGCCACGATCTTTGACCTTTATGCCGGTTAAGTTTTTGTTAATGATGAAGATACCAAGCTTTTGTACCTTGATGATTCTTGTCCCCTGCGGTTCCAGCTCGTTGTTTTTACGAACAAACTTTCGATTCTATTTCCTGAGTCGCTAATGTGACATTTACGATGGTTTCTTCTTGCCCGCAATCTTCTGTCGGTCTTTCACTTTCATCTTGTCATTTCTCATAAATCAGCCATTATTTTCCCTTCCCGCTTTACTATGCCTGTTTCCTGTATGAGATTGTTCTTCCAGAAGTTGCGTTTATGCCCTGGCAAGTATATGCTTGACCATGGTACGAGGTCAATAATATCAAACTTTTCTGAGGCAGACTATGCCGAGGCAAGCAATGGATTGTTTTCATTCATTCCGTTAGTAAAGCCGTCTTCCTAACGCCACCTATGCCCATAAACCATAGAACCAGCATCTTTTCCACATGTTGCGTAATGAAATGAGCTACAGAAGCTCCGTGGAAACTCTCAGTCTGTGACATAGATAGTATCCCTCCAACTCCCCAATGCCACCCGAGAACGCCCGTTTGCAATGCTAGAGAAGAGAAGAAAGCAACCCATGCAATAGACAGTATCCCAGCCAAACTCCCCACACACAGATCTAACCCACCCTCCCACACCCAGGAACCATACACGCAAACCCCTCCGCCGATCTCAACTCACGCACTATAGCCCTCCTACAATACGGCTCAGTGCAAGCATGAAAACCGCCGTGGATGGTAATCGATCCTGAGCTCACCGCGTCCAGAAGGCGTCTGCTGATAGGCATGGCGAGGAGGCTGCGTCTGTGGCTGTAGCTCGGAGACTCAGGTGAGGACTCTAGGATGGATTTTGCCGTCCGGCAGGAGATGAGGACATGGTCGTTTCGGTGGCCGCATGTGTTCGTGACGCGGTGGACCTGGCACATGCTGGAGTTACTGGGGCTGGTAGGATGTGTTCTTTGGGTTAGGGGTTAGGTGATTCACTGTGGATGGGGTTGGTGTAGATTGATCTTAGACTGACTTGTTTCAGGGAGAGATTGGATGAATCTCTTATGGAGAGGTGGGTACTTTTTCAGCTTGAGCATCTGTGTAAAGGGTAATGACACCTGGATACAGACAACCTGTGATGGACATTAAGCAATAAGAGGCAAGAAGTGCAGCAACAGGTTGAGGAAGGATGAGATGGTACGGTGAAGGTTGATTGAGGCATGTTGTAGCCTGAATCTGCGCCGAGATGCTCTTATGTCAGTGCATGTTAGACTATTAGTCTGGAAGTATGCTCTCAAAAAGATAAAGATTCTGTGAATGAACTTCAGATGTCTGTCAATATTAAGAAATATCCTCTGTTGGTGTTACAGACTGAACAATGCATAGTACATCCATAATAACAGGAGAGTCATGTCAAATGCACACTGAAAAATGGTGACCAGGGCAGAACAGAAGGATCGCAACATGGAGTAAGGCAGGCAACAAGCCAACTGAGAACAAAACAAATGCTGTACATGAATCCTCGCTTTCAGCCAGGCAACTCAGATTCCGCGCCATCGCCCGAGAGAGAGAGAGCGCAAAAGGGTATTACAACACGATATGCAAGAGCGCTGAAGCGAGATCGACTCTACTCATTATCCACAAAGGAGTTTGCGAGACGCCCAAATATAGGAACCTCAAAGTGTTCAAGCGTGTCGACTGAGCTGCTGTCAGTACAATATCGATGGTCATGATCCGCAGTGAGGACTCACCATCCCGATAGGCGCGCATGCTCAGATATCCGATCAGGCCGAGGTCGCAAATAAACACGAGCCAGGAAAGAAAGCTCGACCAGGAGAAAATAAGATGGACAATCTGCTCCGGGATAAGTGCTATGATCATACGAATGTCCGGGTGCACTTACAAACATGACTGTGAAGAGCATACTCGATTGCCAAGCATGAAATCTGCCATATGTCAGTTGTATGCACAGATCTGATTGACCCCTAACCGTGTCTATACCGAACATAGTCGCTCTTATGCTCCAACAGCAACAGGAATACCCCACCCGCTGGAGGGAGAAGTAGATATGCCAGCATAGCTTCAACATCCATACGGATCGGGAGACTTGTTTCAAAGGCTCCTAGATTCCATCTGCCACCCTCGACATCTCGTCCATACCCATGATTTCCTTGTCCGCCGCCATGGATCTGATTCCCGCCTGCAAAATGACTCGGAGATGGGAGACCACCTGATTGCGCACCGGGTATCGGGGGAGACCCGCGCGGGGACCGAAGAATGGGTGATTTGATACGATTTGCGTCGCCTAGTGATGGTGAAAGAGCTCGCTCAACTTCGGGAGACTCATCTTGATAAGGTGCGAAGTTCATTATGTGTGCAGACGGAGTGCAGCCAGGATAGAAAGCACAATCAAAGAACTGAGCTTCTTATCAGACACTGGTGGATGCACATGTTTACTTATCGCTAGCTCGTGTTGTCTTGGCGCCTCAGGCAGAAATGTCTTTATTTACACATGATCTGGGCGCAGGCTCGCAGCAGTGACTGCAATTGATGAATAGGCACATATTTTATCCATTTAGTTTGGGTATCACGTTCTGTCATTGCGTATTTACTCATTTCAGAAAAGTATAGTACACGAAGCAAAAGACCACCAGATATCTACTCTATGCTCTTCCGCGTCCTCGCGCGACGCCCGTTCCTCTTGCAATACCACTCACTGGCCTGCGCGTAGATGTCGTCGTAGAAGTACCGCCTCGGCTCGCTGCAGATCTTGCTGTGCTTGAGCTGGTTCCGGAGTAGGATACGCTCGGAGTTCTTCCCAGGCCAGTGCTTCGGACAACTCTACCTCTGGTAGTTGTTCCACGCGTCCCTCTAGCGCTACCGGTCAGAGCTCTCTTCTTCTCTTCCTCCTCTGCCTTTCGTGCTGCTGCTTCTCTCTGCTGCTGTAGCTCTCGTTCGCGTCTTTCTGCGGCCTGTTGGCGCAGAAGCTCCTCGTTTTCCATATCCGCAACATCCTGGAGTGCGCCTTGCCAGTTGGGATTGAGTATCAGTCGCTGGTTATGCTCGGTTTGAGATAGAATACGAGTCCACGTGTTGAGTAGAGTTGAAGCAGAGTCAACGGTGCGCGCAACAGTCTGTACGGGCCTATATTAGCAGGGACTTCCCTTCGCTGGCAAAAAGAAGTACGTTGACATACATCCATATTCCCTTTCGCACGGTCTAAACTACCCAATAATCCTTCGATCACCTGGTTGATATTCCGGACCGTCTGTAATTCGTGTTGCAACGCGGCTTCCCGCGCTTCCTGGCGATCGAAAAGCGTTTCCCCATGGTGGGAGGGCCTGGTCTCGGGTGTAGTGCTGCGCTCCTCTGGGACTTTACGGTGAGTTGGCTTGTTGCTTCGCCTTTTTGAGGGTGAATTCCAGAGGTCATCGGAATCATCATCGGAAAGCTGGAGCCTGTCCATCTCCTCCGCTGTACTGCGTACCGCCATGGGTCGTAGAAAGTCGGGTGTTATGCGAAACTCACGTCAAGAGTGGGGTTGAGCGTGTCGGATAAACAATTGTTGATGTTTGTGGTGAATTGATTATGGATTGCAAGTAGATGGAGGGGATGCATAAACACACAACGATAATCCCTCCGGCGATAAATGTTTATTGTGTTAGGCTCTCGTATCAGGGTCTATCTAGACTAGGTACATCATCGATTTGTTAATTCCCTATCATAGTGGTGGTGGGGCATTCAATTGGTTCAGCCTCTTTTTCTTCCCTTGGTGGTGCTACCTAATAATTAGCGGTGGCTGGTTTCGACGTCAAGCAACCGACCGGGCATTCATTCTTGGCCGGCCTTCCCCCTTCACCATCTATTATCTATCAACCCTTGGTTGCAATTCCCACTTCTATGTTTCTCTTTATCTCATCTTTGAGAATTAACATCCATTAGATCGGTTGATTTATCTTAAAGGCATTCTTCGCTCCTTATTGCGCGTCATCGGTCAGAAAGTCCCATTGATTAAACGCTCCTTCGGTTGGGTTGTGCGTGTTGCGAGTCGCGCGTTTTTCCTCCCTTTGTCTCCTTCGAGCCAGCCATCGAGCCATCATTCGATCATACGACCCACGGTGTTCCGTTTCAGCGACACAGATAGTCATTGATTCAGATTACTTGTCATAGGGATCTTGTTGGAACGTTTGGTGTACCTCTACATCTTTACTGCAGGAACAAGTTCCGTCATTTGACGTGTCTCACACAACACACAATGGCGACGACACCCCCTCCACCGTCTACTTTGCGAATTCCTCCTACTCCTCGACATGGAGCCGGCTATGACCAATATGAACCGTATTCTACTAGATATTCGACGAGATTAGCCGGTCAGCGGGCTTCACGAGAGTCCCGCACTACTCCTCCGCCCAGTTTCGCGGCCGCTCACACCAAGCCCGGCCTCAGAAGCGCGAAGAAGCAGAGCAACGATGAGTTTGAGGCATTGTCGCCTCCAGGATCGGTATTCAGATCTCCCCGCAAGGAGCATTCGGGCCAGACCAGAACGTCTGCTGTAACACATTCACTGGAAGACCACCCTGTGTCAGACAGCTCAGACCCCTTCACCACCGCAGAACTCTCGCATACTCAACAACGTCCTCTCCAGAAATACCGACCCACCATGACTGATGGCATGCTGCCCACGCCTGCTAAAACTCCACGAAAGAAGGCAGTTGGTGCCGTCGGAGACACTGCTCGCACTCTGTTTCCAGCAGCTCAGAGCTCGGCATCTTCGCGAAGCAAGAAAACCAAGAAGGAAACTACCTATTCTTTAGACAGTTTCATTGACAATGCCACATGTGGCATTGTCAATGAAACTTCTTCGCAGATTCAGATCTACACCGACTCCCGTGATCGAATCCCCGAAATCGACGAAAGTGAGGGAAACCCTTTCTACAAGAAGCACAACCACCAGGAATCTACCAGCCATGTGACTGCGCGCGCTTCTAGAAGGAGCAGAAGAGAGGAGACGAAGCGCGATCAGGAAGTTGATGAGGCCATCAAACGGAAGGATGGAATGGTCTACGTATTGTGAGTATTACCCCATCTCCGCTTTCCTCGCTGGGCTTATTCTAATTTTCTTAAAAGCCGAGGCAAGAAAATGTTTCGCAAGTTCACGGAAGACGTCGAAAGTGACGGAGAAGACGAGAACGATTTGGGTCTGCTCGCAGCGCGTCCCGACCTGATCGACTCATCCATCAACACCGCCGTTCGCCCCTTGACTCGCTCGTCCATCAGGCCGCGTGTACTTTTTCCAAGCGCCAATGACCGTGGTCATTCAGAACACCATATGAGCGACTCTGACGAAGAAGCGGCCACCGACATTGACGAGCACGTGCTTCACAAAGAGCTTGAGGATGACGCCGATCAGGCCACTGATGTCGAAATGCCACAGCGACCGATGACTCCCCCACTGAAGTCTACGGTTGCGACGCCCCCGTCTCCAGGTGCAACTATGCGTTCCCTGCGACCTCGAGGCAAGCGAGAGGGCGCGGAGCACACCGAGTCACCAAATGCGCCCGAATCCAGTACAAAGCGCGTCAGTCCATTTGCTGGTTGGCTGCGCAAGAAGCAGACTCCAGCGAATGCTGCATCCAAGGCGAAGAAGAGAGATGCAGACGCAGCTGCTAGTCCTGGTGGCCCTGCAATGAAGAAGACGAGAGGGAATAGAGTCGCCCCTGCGTTATGAGCTCATTCGCATCGTCTGGACTATGAATGATTGTATTTTCTCTACGCCCATGGGTTTTCACTTCGCTTTTTCGGGTATTGGTTTAGCCTGGTCTCCGCTTGATGTTTGTCCCTTCGAAAGATCGGTCTTCTTTCTTTGCCTACTGAACTTGAGCTGGAATGGGAGCATGGGTACGTTATTTGGCTGGAATCTCGCTTGAGGGTTGGCGGGATGGAGTTATTCTGCTTTTTCACTTTTTCGGGCGTGTCGATTCCACTTTGCGTTGAACTAGTCAGAATTAGATATCCCAATGAACATGAACTCAGATTGCCACCTATCCTTGAAAAGTAAACTTGTCTTACAGCTGGAAAGTCAGGCATACAGGCATCTCTGCTGACCTGCGTAAAGATTCAATACTCTGCCGTCGACCTGATGGTATATGACTACGGGGTACAGGTTGAATTGCAGAGCTCTCAAGGCTCAAGATCAATCATTGCTGGAGAAGTCATAAAACATCGAATAGTACAACATAGTCCTGCTACAAGTACCACCGTAATCATCAACTGGCATGACAAGGAGAAGCGAAAAAGTACAAAGAAGGAACGGCTGACAAGATCAATGACAAAATGTGCAAGGAATGGCTTATTGAAACCAAGACAGACTCTCCATGGGGCGTTCCTAGGTATGAATTAAAGGGATATATCCTCGACATTGCGCTGTTACAAGAAAGGCAGAGTGACTTTGTTCCGTCCAGATAAGTGAACTGAGGCAAGGAGTGGGTATCTAGTTTGTAGGTGTGTGAGGGAAGAACGATGTGCACAGTATGCAAGTGGTTTGTTTCATTTATCGGATGATGTCCAGTTCATCGTCATCGTCATCGTCATCATTAGGTTTTGTCATGGCATTAGAGCTGCCGCCTAGGCTGTCCCGTCCGGCTTCCTTGATACCGTTGGACGTTATGAATCGCGTCTTCTTCACGCTGCCATTGTGCTGTTTGTCGCCGTCGTAGGCGCGCTTCAGTGGGCTGAGTTTTACGGCGTTTGCTCTCCTGAAGCCCGTTAGGCCGAGGCTGCTCGCAGAAACAGGGGTGGAGGCCTCGAAGCTTGATTTCTCTTGTGAAGACGAGGCGCCGCTTTCGGGATGAGAGGATGTTGCGGGCTTGGTTGCTCTTGCGCGGAGGTACTCGGCGCCCACGTTGCCAGCTCGAGAGGTGACTAGCTTCTGAGTGATCTCTCGTTCGCGCTGCTGCTGCACAAGGCGTCTCCGGAAGCGTTCTTCCTTGCTTTGCGCCCCACGGCCCATCATGCCTGCTGCGATGAACGGATCTTCGTCGTCGGCGTCGATGAGACTGGCGGCAGACTGGCCGGGTGCTCTGTGGCGGGAATGTTGAGCGCCGCCGCCTTGAGATTTGGGAGCAGGCGCAATGTAGTACAAGGACTGAGACCCAAGGTCGTATTGGGGACCATTTGACTTCAGACCGTTCGGGGTTCCTGGTTTCTTCCCACCCGCGAAAGCCCCAGTCCGTGGGCCTGAACGGCCCCCAGGACCAAACATGCCTGTGCCACTGTTGACTCCCATCCGTTGTGATTGCGCCCGACGGACCTGGAGATCGAGGTGAAAATCGCAGAACTCGGTCTTTCGGCCATCCACCCATGATTGGCAAGTCTTGCCGTCCTTCCTGACAGCTTTACAGAAGCCTATATCCTGGGCATATCCAACCTCGAGAATCTTATCATCCGATGAGGAAATGGAGAGGCTGAACCTGTTGGTGTCTATCTTATTTTTGGGCGGTGGCATGATGGTAGGATTCAGGATGGCAACAAGGATGCCTTCGGATAACCTGTAATATCGAGGAAATGCAGTGTCGAACAGGAACAAGTCAATTGTCCACTTGAGATCTGTGAGCGTGATAGCCATATACCTGTTGCTGTTGTTCAGTCCATCATCAAACGGATCAACTTCTTTTGCAGAGACATTTTTGGTATCCTTGATTTGCTTTGGCTCCGACTTTGAGGCAACTATGCCGAACACAACGTAGTCTCCGTCAATCTCTTCGGGAAGCTCAAAGTCTGGCGCTCTCACTGTCCTCAGAAGGTCTGGAATGCGAAGAACCTTCTTGTCGGAGAGGGTTCTAGCTAAAAAGGAGTGTGGTAGTATTCGATTCGACAGGTGAAGCGACGAGTACGGCTCAAACTTGGACGAATCTGGTGTCTTTGTTGTTACCTCGTCTCGAGCTTCGTTGTCAAGGTCGGAGAAAGAATCTCCACGAGACTGAGAGGATGCCGGTCCAGTTTCGGATTGATTGGGTAGCCTACGGGAAAATGGTCGTGACCCCTCAGAGCCTGCGTCTTTGCGCACACTGGGTGCAGTCTGGCTTCGTTTGATGGAAGGCTTGAGATTCTGAAACGATCGCACGACATCGTCTCTGCTGAAAGTCTCGACGGGACGGCTTCTCGTCGGGGACCTGGGAGGAGCGTTTGTTCTCGCCTCAGCCGCTGCTGTCCTAAATGTCTCCATCTCCGTCTTGTCGAACTGGAACGCGGAGCTTCGGTTGACCTGAAGCCTCAGTTCTCGTTCCCTGCGAGACTTTTCAGCTGTTCGGCTTTCAGCAATCCGCTCACTAAACGTCTTGCCCCGTTTCCCACCCTCCTCGGCAGCCAGCATCTGCGCGTGAGATGCGAAGATATCGCCGGAGTGAGACATGACAGCTTCACGAGTCCCATGCATACTTGTTGGTCGTGCCCCCAACCGGGATCTTGGCGGACGTTTGAGACTAACATCGCTACCTTTGAGGCCCTTGTCGATGCCAAGAAGATATCTCCGCGGGGACGCAGGTTCAACTGGAGGAGCCGCTCGTCTGACAGGCGACAAAGGGACTTGAACATCATCCGGCTCGTGTCTGCCAATCGTTTGGATGGGGCTCCTAAGTCTCGATACCTGCTCTTGTGACCGCGACGGGAAGCTAACTGCCGATGCTGGTCTGGACTGCGTATCGTTCGAATCCAACGTGTTTGAGCGTGCGCGAGTTTTTTGAAGCTGCTTCAACTTCAGCTTTGCTTCAATGGCAGCAAGCTTGAGTCGTAGCGTCTCTTCATCTTCGTCTTCGTCTTCGTCTTCGTCGTCCAGGTCATCAATAGCGGCGTTCAGTTTTTGATTGGCTAGTAGATTCGGAGTAGTCCTCGAGTATTTCAAAGGCGACCCCATATTCTCATGGCGGCGTCGCATATCTTGATATTTCCTCCGACCATCGGGAGAGCCGAGAAGTGCCTCCCTAGGAGATTTCGGCGGCCATGAGGTCTCAACCACTGAACAATTGCGGTGAATTTCGGTTAGTTTACTATTGCAAGTAGGGAAGAATCACCCGTATACAGACAGGATGTGCACTCACTGCTGGTCATGGCAACATCTATTTCCTGATTTCTCCCAGTCAAGTGATATTGAGAAAGGCTGAGTGACTGTGTCACCGTCTGTTTCTTACGCTCCTTGGCTGACCCTGGCCATGGTTTATTGGGATGCGGGGATGAAATCAGAGCACCGAGGTCAATCACGAATGGAGAGCCCAGGTGCGAGTAAACCAGGAAACTGAAGAATCCAGTGGGCAACAATAACAATACTACCCCGTGTTTCAAAGTTGAAAACAACCCCTTTCTTTATTCTGATGATCCCCTGTCATCAGCAAGGCGCAAGACGAGAAATTGAATCTTCCGCTGCTGCAAGTGTGAGTGGTTGTGTGCAGCAACAGCGCTGATTGGCCGAGGAAGTCCTGCGCGTGTCGCGTCCGCAGAATGGAAATTAAACCGACCTGAAGCTCTGACGCGTTGAGAGCAAAATCCCTAGGAGCTACCGTTAAGCACAAGCTTGTACACGACCATTGTTAACCACCTGTCTATTGTCGTGCGATGTGAGATAGTTATATCGGATAATATACATACTTCGTCTCCGAGCAATACCGCCAAAATGCGGACGCGATCAACTGCTCCATCTGAGCAGCCCGACACCGAACAAAAGAATCTCAAGGTGCCAACTACAGTGCAGACTCCCTGCAAGTCATTCGTTCTCCCTTCAGCTGCAAGTGACGATGCCAGATTCATAACGTTGCCCAATCCGCGAACTGGAGAGCCCAATCGCTACTTCTTCTGCCCGAAACTTGGCGTATACGAGTTTACCGTCGTAGGGTCTACGCCGCAGTTTCCACGGAGTATACTCTTCACTCCCAAACCAAACACGAAAACTTCCAATGGCGAGGGTGACCCCTCCCAAGCCAAGGGGACTATCTCCAGAGTCGCCGAACTGTATGTTGCAACGCCAGTTGATGTCATGTTCTTCATGATACCTCTGCTGGCCCCAGCCACATCGACGCATACCAAGAAGCTTTTCCAGCCGCTCGACGATATCATTGATTCGCAGGACGATTTGCCCAGTCATCTACAGCACATACTCTACAATGAAGATTTCCGCAGTGTCTTGCAATCGCGAGTCGAGGCGGTATGTGACTCGGTCGAGGCAGGGGATGAGAAAATGTTCCGCTTCGACGAGGTCAAGCTCCTCAAGGAACTGATCGCTAAGGCGGAGCGCCTAGTGGCCCAGGGCCTTCCAGCGAGCTTGGAGGAGCGATTTGTGCGTCAAGCATTGGTCACACCCTTGATGTCCGTCAAGCGAGAGGAGACCATCATCGGAGGCACGTCGTCATTGGAAGATGACGGCGAGGGAGAGTCCCAGGACAAACAGGAAACACAATCCACAACGACTGCCTCTGTCTCAACACCCTCAGGTGTCTCAACGCCTGGCACCGAACTTTCCGCCGAATCAAATCTGGGATCCGCCACCAGGGACAATATGGCTCATCTGCTGAGAATCTCCACCGTCCTCTCCTTCATCAAGGAATCATACATCTCCCCACAACTTTGCGCTAGATTAGATGAACTACTTGCCACACCCGAAACACCCGTGGATTTCAAACCACTTCAAGACCATCTTCAGCATATAGCAGAGCTGCGGGCGCAAGCGCTCGCGACTCAATCGCTTGGGGATTTCAGCCGCAAGCGCGGTGCCGACGACGACGAAGCTACAGAGTCTCGCGCCGAGAAAAAGCGCCGCAAAGAAGAGGAAGAGAAGAAGAAGAAGGCCGGAGAATCCCGCGGTGTGAGAGACCTGAAGAAGGTCAATACTACAGGAATGAAGAAGATGAGTGATTTCTTTACCAAGTCAGCGCCCAAGAAGAAATCCTGAGATTTCTCGCTTTATCCCGACGATTGATCAGCCGCTTCATCCGCGACAATCGTGCCCAACATTCGACGTGACGGATGGTGGAGCCTCAGTTATCAGGAAAGCCAGAAGAAAGCAATTCCTTGGTACAGACTTCGAAACCCAAACAATGGGCCAGACCAAGCATGGGTCCTATATTCGAGTCCCAAGCCAAGCTTTGAGGCCTAATAAGCGCCATGACTCAAGCACGATTCCTCCTCCTGCTTGCAGTCCACACGCTTCTATTGATGGAGTGACAATACTGCTACTAAAGCCAGATCCACCCATGCAACATACCGACCGCTCGCTGTCCGATCGATTGGCCTCTGTACTGAATTGTAATATAGAAGAGATGATGCTCAAACAGTGCCTAGCTTCAATAGAATCATAGGCACTTATGTATTACATACTCCTGGACCTGGATTTAAGAAGGGCAATCCTATCGCCCTAGAGATCAATGTGAACAGTACAGAATCGCTCAATGCTTTATTTTCTTTCTCATGATATACATCTCCTAAATTTTGACATCGGCAATGGCGGCTCCCGTAATCCTGGTGGGAAGCAGTCAGTGAGTCAACGTCCTCGCTTGGAACCGTAAAGACATCATCCAGACAAGGGTACACATACATGAAGGATCCGTTAGAAGGCTTGCTGATAACCATGGCCTGTGCCAGCTTCTCCTCGCTGATATCGGGGAACTTCTTTAGATAATACTCTTCCTTCAAGGCCTTGGTGACGGCCTCGACCTTGGACTGCGGCAGCATGTGGACCGTGCAACCTCCCCAACCAGCACCCGTAAGGCGACTTCCCCAGGTCCCGGCGCGGCGGGCGATGGCGCAGATCTCATCGACTTCCGGGGCGCTGCAGTCGTAGTCCGTTCGGCAGGACTCCTGGGACTCGTTCAGCAGCTGGCCCAGGTAGTGGATGCGCCTGTCGTCCAGGGTGTGGGCCTTGGCCAGGCAGGCCTTGAAGTCAAGCACGCGCCGGGCTTCCTTGAAGCAGTGCAGGGCACGCTGGCGGAGTAGGAAGCGCTCCGCCTGGACCGGGAATGCGGAAAGGAACTTGGCCTCGAGCTCGGGGACTGTGATGCCGAGCAGCTTGGCGATCTCTTCCCGGGTGTATCCCTGCTCCTGGGTCAGGAGCTCCATGGTGTACTGGATCACGGAGTCGATCTGGTATTCCAGTGGGTCCCCGAGGCGGCCCTCCTTGCGCATGAATTCCTCGTGGAAGTTGCGCAGACTGTATCCAAGCGAGCTGTTGTCCTTAGTCAAGGTGATGCCGTGCTGCGCGGCCAGCACCACAGCGGCGAGAGTGCATTCGGCCACGCGCAGATTGTAGTGACGGGGTGCCGTCTCGGCCTTGTTTGAGGTGACGAAGCTCTGGGCCATGAGGAAAGTGATTTCTTCATCCGCCTTGGGAATAGGGACATGTTGAACGGAAAAGTTAGGGTAGAACTGAGTATAAAGGAGATATCCGCGACGTGAGAAGATGGAAGCCGCTTGGTCCATTCTACAGCATGAAGCTGGTTAGCTCACAATACGATATGCGCCTGTGGGTTATTGACTTACCCTCCCGAGTAGACACCAACGGCTCTCTCTGAAACGACAGCCAGGTCGAGCAAGTCCTGCTTCGAAACATCGTGATTGTTGGCCTTCATGACGGCCAACGCACTCGCGCAGACAAAGGCTGCGCTGCTGGAGATACCACCGCCTGGAGGCACATTGCCATCCACCAAGACCTCGAAGCTCGCTGGTGTAAACGAGCCATCCGCCTTCTGCTTGCGTAGGAACTTCAACGCGCCCAAAAGACCAGCCTTGAAGTAGTTGACCCATTCATGCTTCTTGGGGTCAATCTCGATATCGGTATCCCGAGGCACAGTGAATTCGCGAGAGGGGAACTTTTCGGGTGAAACATTGGAGATTTTGACAAATGATTCTGAGCCAGTAGAAGGAATAACCTTGACGGCGATAATCACATCGACACTTACAGCTGTCGGGAGGACGTCGTATAGGTTGTAGTCGATGTGCTCTCCAATGATGTTGACACGGCCAGGGCTGCGGGCTACAAAATCTGGGCGATGGCCGTATAATTTGTTGAACTGAGTAACTAATTCATTGAACCGTAACTGGTGCTCGGGGGCAGTAGAGGTAACAGAGGCATCATCCGTAGCGTAAACCTCAGCTATGGATTCTGTTTGAGGCACGAGTTCCTGCGGGGTCGCCATGGCGGGGTATCTGAGTACAAGATCGGGGATGAGATAAGATGTCAGACGTGGTTTTGGGGGGAAAGAAGAAAGCAAGATGGAAATGAGAGGATCAAAGAAAGAAAAACAGGTGTACCTGACACATGGAAATATTGCTGAAGGGCCTGGGTGGGAAGACTACCAAACTAATCTGTCTATGTCATAGGGGGCAGAACGTGGGGAGGGGCCGAGGGGCAGGGACACCACGAAATACTCACGAGACATCGATGCCTCAATGATAATACCTTAATGCCTTGGATGTTAGCCTGCTAGGGTGGGGATGCCCGAAATGACGGGCATCAAGGCCAGCATCAGTGCCCCGGAGGTCCCGTGCCTCTCACTGGGTGAAAATTCGTGTCGCGTGGGCCCTGGACGCATCTCGGTTAAATTCAACCCGGTGATTACCCCGTTCCTACTCCATTTCGCTCACTCTACGGAATAGTTTCTCCGTCTTCACCGGCTCCCCGAGTTCTCCAGCTCCTTTTTAGACCCTAGCATAAGCTGCATAGCTTGCCTTGAGCTAGATGGTACCGACCCCACTCACCCTCCACTGTGCCTCCGTACGGGGCTTAGGGTTCCCAATAAGCAATCAATGTGTGCAGTATGTAGCTATACTGAGAAGCTCACGATCCATCCAAATAGGACTAGATTTGCTTTGCAATCTGATTCCCTATAACCATGCAGACTGAGTGTTTGCTCCCACCCTTCAATTCTTTCTTCACTTCTCAAATGGTGTTGTTCATTCACTCTTCTGCAGTTACTTACCAACACAACTGTTTACCTTTCTTTGAATGCATCCATTCTCTTCGTTGGAGGCATCCCTTCCTCTGTTTGAACTCATCCCTTCAGCTTAAAATTAATAGGGACATTCCACAGGTGTCCTTGGCGAAGGGAATGCCGGCACCTTAGGTGCTCATGTAGTTGAAATGATGATGTGCAAATCCAGCGCGGCTTTATCACCAATAAGTCAAAGACCGTGGACATAGCACTAACAAGACTAACCTCAAGCCCTAGGAGATAAGCTGATTGACAGGGCAGACCAAGCTGTCAAACGTCCAGGTGTTCCAGCTGATCACAAACGAACATCAAGCAGGTGTGGACCGGAGATACCAACAAGACAACGAGAGGGGCTCCCCAGCCCAGAGCAGCTTTAGAGGACATATTTGAAGCACTGCCCCCAGGGTACGAACTCAGACCCCTTCTCACACATAAGAAGGCTCCAGACAAATAAACTGATGTCCTGACTACTCTGGTGGCCAATGGCCCCTGCCCAGCACAGCGCGAAGGTGCTTATATCTTCAGCAATTGTCCAGCCAGACCTTCCTGACCTACCCTTCGCTTCCCCTGGCGAAATACCTGCATGGAAAGAAACGAACAGATAAAGGCTATTCAGTCAGCAATTAGCGTCATTGGAGCTACAATCAAGAGGACCGACCCATCCACCTGTTCTATATATTCGGTTCCTCAGACCTAGTGTTGAGGATCTGGTGCTGAATAATACGGTCCGCCTACTTTATGCGGTTTTCTAACCGCCACACCACTCATCCGAGCGAATCCAAATATACACTGCGACTGGACCAGACCTCATAGTGGATGAAATGCTCTTAATGCGTCTTAGAAAGGCTAAAGTATCTGGAAGAACTTCCACAGGGATTTAGACCCCGAATCACGAAGGTTTTCATGTCACTTGAAAAAAAGAACGTACTGCAAACTAGGTTCAATGGCAGACGGAGGCTCCAACAAGACGGACAGGAGAGTAATGGCTGGGGGACAAGGCCTCAGAAAGCTTGCAACAAAGACAAATGACTTGCAATACAAGGACTCACCATCTGCTTGCATATTATACAAAGATAATTTCACAGGGCGCCATACTGAGGGTACAGATGCCCCTATCATGACCTCTTCCGATCGCCCGTGGTAGAGTCAAAAAGGGTCTGTCGTCCTTGGCCATTAAGATACTAAAATGAGACAAAATTCTTCTTGCTTTATCTCTTTACTGGCCCTTGTCTCCATGCTCAGTCGCCAAACCTGCTCCGTAATCCCTGGAAATACATAGCTTCACTCGATGGTACCACCCCAGTCGCTGTCCACCGTGCCTCCATATGGGGCCTATGGTTCTCAACAGGGAATTAAAGTACTATGCCGAGAAGCCCAGAATCCAAGAGTCGGATTTGCCTTGCAACCTGACCTCCTATAACAATGCAGATAGCCTTCGAATTACTTCTTCAAGTTTCCCTCGTAAAGTGCGTAGAACTCTGGATCGACGAAATCGAAGCCATTCGTCTTCTGTCGCACGAGCCGAGAGCCAGCATCCAGTACTTCAGGCTGGATGAGCTAGAAAGGACCCTACCATTGTTGGTCGGAAGAGCAATCAATCACCAGCAAATTATCAAGGACAGCTGACATGCGGGGTTCGAAGAAGGTATTTGGTACCTACGCCGAGTGGCTCAACCTAGTCGGAAATTGATCCACTTTGGATGATGATCAGGCCACGAGGTGCTATCTTAAACTACTATAGCCTGGCCTGACATTGGATCATTGTCTCGCCATGACCCTCGAGTAACAGACAAGTATGAAATTTCACACTTTGCATCGGCGAGTTACATTGACCAATATATTCTCATGCTTGAGAAGCAGATCCAAACTTCAGTTATTGAACGGTCGAGCACCTAAGATGCTGTATCCATGGCATTCAATGGATTGAAGGACTGGTGAATATGGATATAGTACCTTCGCGGGTCCA